TTGGATGAAGCAGTCAGAAAATGGGTGGACGGATATGTTTTCAACATCAGTCACACCTTCCCACAGTCTTCTTACCTGTGATGAAAGGAATCACGAGCCATTTCTGCACCCCTCTGCTGACGTAACTTTATACTCTGCAAAAGGTAATATCCATAAATGTATTTATTAACATATATTTGGGTTGAATTTGTTTTTTCATTCTAGCATGTCTGACATTTACCAGAGTATACTTGGTATTTCCATCTGAGGTAATGCCATCTTCTTTAGAGACAGCTTGAAAAGCCAGCAGATGAGGATCTGTTACAGTCACCTAAGAGATACCAGGAGGGAAAAATGCAGATTATTTTTTCAATCTCAAAGCACCTAGCCTATAGGAGAGAACCTATTTAATTCCTCCACTGAAGTTCAGCACCCACAGAGGAGACACATGGCCATTCTGCACCAGACGCCCCACAACAGAGCAAGTCAGGTGGAGAAGTAAGAAAATATTTTCCCAAATTTATTAATGGAGAAATCTAGGAAAGCCAAATTGGGTTAGTCCAGAACAGAATTTTTTACTGGGCACCAGGGTTAAAACCTGTTCTTTTGAACAATGCATTGGGATCGTTAATAAGCAAGTAATCGGGACTCATCCAAAAGAGCTCGTACAGCACAATGTCCCATCTCCATACTGGGGCATTGGTTTGGAAATTCTGGTCCAGAGGCAAGAGAGCCTCTGTTATTTTTTTTCCATTAAAGATCTCCACTACTGACTCGGCACATCCCTACTTAGCTTCTGAGATCTGATGAGAGATCTGACAAGGTGGTAATGCTACTGTACAAAAATTATCTAGACTAGAAATCACAAATTTAATTTAACTGAATGACCACTCAATTGCGTTCTTTACCCCACTAATATAGACGGAATGATATATACGAAATACAGGAGAGAGAAAGTGCTCACCAAAGGGAAAACTTGACTGAGTGGTGCAGGGATAAAAACCGCTGACAGGTATAAGTGGTCTCCCATATCAATATAATACACACCTCGATCAAAAGACCCATAAAGGACTTCCACCTGAAAAAGAGTTTGGACAGAAAATATCATATTAGAAAGGTTATTATACTATATATCCTCTGTAGTGTTATCAAGGTAGTAAACAATTTATAGACAGAGTTGCTTAATAGCTGCTGCATGGAGAGGAATAAAAAGGTTTGGGGCATTTTTAATACCCTGAGTCTTAGTATTAGACGTCATTCTTCCTTGTCTCGTACAGTGTTAATTTAAGACCCCCAATGAGAAATTGCTGAACTGGGTAGTAGGTACACAAAGCATCTGGCGCATGCACTGTTCATCATTAAGATATGTGTATTTCTGGACAACGCTGTAGAGATGTGACAGGCCCCTTACAGGAAACCCTGAATCTTCTTTCAGTGAGATCAGCCTGATAATTCACCCCCTTCCCCTCACCCTGGGCGCAGCACTCACCGGGCATGTGCCCAGCAAGGGAACGAGATGGCTGAGCTGCTGCTGAACGACAATCAGGCAGTGGTCAAAATCAACGCCCCCGGTGCTGGGGTCCTCGATAGGCTGGGTCACCAGCAGGTCCCCAAATGAGCTGAACATCAGCACTGCCTGCTCTGAGAAGTCTGTCAAGTTTTTCATCTACAAAGGAAACAGCAAGTTCAATTCCTGGCTTTCATACTGCAGAGGTTTTATCCAGCCATTAAGTTATTTCGGTTATTTGTGCTGAAAGTGTACCAGCGTTTTAATTGGGACCTGTCTATATTTTCTGATTTGCTTCACTTTTTTTATTTCTGCAGAGTCAGACAAGACATCACCTGAACGATAACTGCATCCATACTGAGCCTCCCATAGAACAGCATCCCTTTACTGGTTAGGACTGCAATCTCACTGTTCTCACCTGGATCACAGCCAAGGAGACGAGAGAGAAACTGGAATTACTGTTTATTCAGGGCGTTGGATGACAGAACCCCGCAGAAGGTTTATTGATTCCTCTAGTTAGCAGCATTCATTGAAACGCACACAAATACGCAGCAGTCTAGAATCAACTTGCTTCGTTGTCACTTGACGCATGTGATCATTAAGATAGAGATTATAATAATCAGGAAAAAACATTCAAAACATTCTGCTGCTCAACACGTTATGTTGTAGGTAGAAACTCCAATATTATACCTCCAGTTTCGCTTGTGCTTTGAAGACATAAATAGTATGTGATCTTAAGAAATTAGTATATATTACATTCTCTGTATTTTGATTTAAACACATGGGTATCATTAGAACCTTTATTGAAATGTACTGTACAATGTAGTTTTAGTAGTAGCAAAAAAACTTAAAATACAGTACACAATGCTTTAAAGGAGCACAGGTTTTCTTACAAAATGTGTTTGATAGCATGATGATAAGCAGACAGTAACTTTGTGGTGCCGTTTCCATATTTAATGTGAGGACATACTTGTAGCAACCTGTTGTAGGAAGACATCAGGTCCTGGAAATACACCACTATCACCCTCTACATCTGGTTTCAGTGGAAGTATGAACTGGCCTTAAATACACAAAGACAAAGTCTGATGAGGCTTAAATCCCACAGGCCTCTACAGAATTCAACAGGAAGCCTGTATTCAAATCCATTTTATAATCTGTCTTCTTCAGCACAAATTTATCATAGATCCTGACTCTACTGTGCCAGTTTCCTATGTTAATGATGTGGCGTCAACACTGTCGCAAAGCTCTGAATACTAGTGCTGTGCAGTGTGGTCATGCTCAGAGAACACTGTTTAACACATTGTCCATCAGTCCTGTGGCAGTTGCTTAAAATGGCTGGAAAACAATGCACAGAGTGGTCAGTCAGGTCAGTCCAATACTCACCGTGGTTTGGGGAGTAAAACAGAGACCGGAGAGACCAGATGACCAGGTGTCCAGTCATGCCTGGGGGTTGGACCACATGTACTCGGTCCAGAGGGCCCCTCAGAGAGAATACATCTGACTGCAGGTTTAAATCTGAGGTCACATAGCTGAAAGAGGACTGACAGGTCATCAAAACTTTTAAAATGCAGTGCATTGGAACTCATGAGAACAAAAGAAAGATTATAAATGAGAAGAAGTCATTAAGCCCATATAACTCTTTAAGCTACTAGAAGCTTATCATGTCTGGAAATGAGCATTTTTGGGAAGTGTGTTAGACACTCTTGTTTTTGAATTTAACAGAATACCAGTTACACCTTTAAATACAAACTTAATAATCTTGTTCTTTTCTTCAAAGCTGTCTGGTTGTGTGAGGGTTGTGCCTCCTTTCGTCTGGGAAGATACAATGGGTCTATATGATTACTCACCCTGTTTTTGTCGTCTGTTATCATCACCAGTATAGTTGACAGTGTGGGCATGTTAAAAACCATCTCCACAACGCCCTGGTGAGCAAAGAATTTCTCTGAGTTTACCTGAAAAAACTGAACTGAGACTTTAAAAAAAAAACTTTCTTTGCTGTAGTTACAAGCCTGATCGACTCACTCAGTCATTCTCGCCTTTTAGTATCCCAAACCAATTTAGATCAAAGTGTAAAAGATGAATCTTTTTTACAATGCTTTACAGTGCTCTAATATTAATAAGTAATATTAGTTCTCACTTCCTAAACATTGAAGTTGTAGTTCCTCTTTTACATGTGCTATTTGCTCTCAGAAATGGAACTGCCAATCAGAACCTTACCAACATACAGATCATTGCAGGGGGCTTACTATACAGGGTGTAACCTTATGTAGGATTCCACACAAACAATCCCACTTTGAAAACAGCTACTCTTAGAAAGGATGTTAACTAGGTTGCCATTCCTTCTCCTTACTTGTAAAGTCGGAGGTAAAGCAAATCTCTCAAACTGGAATCCCCCATCAGAAGACAAGAATACGTTTGTATCCTGCACAGGGTGTCCTCTGTTATATACAAGAACTGTGGAGCTCACAGCCTGGTAAAAAAAAAATGTGAACCAATTAAAGCATTTCATGCAAGCTCACAATAAAGCAATTTACAAAGATAAATCTTCATTTGATCTGTAACAGAACACCTTGGTCAAAAACATTGGAATTCTGTACCGTGCAAGGAGGCTCAGTACTGAAACAGCACTGCAATGAAGAGACTTCTGTCATGAGTGATCCCACACCTTAAACACAAAGGGCAGAGGCCTGTCATTTACTAAATCACGTTTTTGTCATTACAGACATCTTGTTAATGAGGATTTCTGATCATTAATATGACTTTATCTGGCTTTATTGAAAGTTCCCTATGTTGAAAAACAACCAATACATTGTAAATTCTGAGCAGCGCACAAATACAAATGCTGAATTCAATGAGCAGAAGAAATTGGATAATGCAATAATATAGCTTTATTTAGTAACGGAATGTGGATCAGGAATGACTGCAACTGTAGGATAAATCAGAGGTTTCAGAAGTATGTGAAGCCTAAAGTAAAAAAAAAGTAAGGCAAAGCAAATCACAGAAACTCCTATGGTATACAGGGTGTAGTGTAAACAAGGAGGCCTTGCAGGGAAGTCAGAAGAAGGTCTAGTCCTGATGCTGCTCAGTAACTTGGTGATTTCTCTCTTCTTTAGCAATACCATCTGTTGTAGCCATCAAGGCCAGATGAGATGGCCGACCTGGCTGCCAGAGGATGAAGGACAAAACCATTAGCGTGATGGTGCCGCTGTACCTTGGGCTGGAGTCCATATGTGATCCTCCAGAGCATACACATAGACCTTGCCATCAATCACCAGCACAAGGCCCTCCGAGACAAAAGCTGCAGAAGTCACTCTGCCCACTGAGACCTGAGAGGAGAGAGGTGTGAACAGCAGAAAAAAAAAAAACCATGCAATCCACCTCTAATACAGCCAGAGACAACCTCTAACTCCAGAGAGCAATCAATCACCAGTGGGCTAGAAACACAAACATAGTCTAATTCTCTTCTTCTTGTTGGTGAACACCCACACTAATTAGAATTATGATCCTATTTTCTGGCTGCTAATGTACACAGAGCTCTGCAAGGTTCAAATCATCGTTGTGAGAATGTCACGAGAGGAACATCTTGTCAAAGGGTTTTAGATTCGATATTTTGATTTACTCATAGGGAACCAAAAAGGTGAAGCCTTATAACTGCTTTCTGGAGTTATAATTGTGAAAACGGGGAAGTGATTTGTGGTGTTATATCTGGACCAGTGCCATGGTGGCACACCAGACTAGCTGGGCTCTGGTCCAACAGTGCAATAAGATTAATAGAAAACTGTGTTGAGAATTTTGTGACTGGGAGACATGGCCGTTATGTGTACTTACACCATCTCCAGAGAAATCAAGGGGATAAAGGGTACCCTCGAAGCCATTTCTGGTCAGGAAAAGTCTGGTTCTGAAGAGGATCAGGAACAGAAGCCTGATCATTAGCACCACAATGAGCACAAAGCCATACAGAAAAACAAGTTTTGACAAGACGTTTGACAAGAAAGGCTTCTATTTATTGCTTCTTCACTGAAAGGGGTTCACTTATGTTTCACACTTCATGATCAAGCTAAGTTAAATTACCAGCGTAAAAATAAAGCTACAGAAAAAGTTCTTAACTGTCCACGTGTGTGTCTTGTGTTTGGACTAGAATCCAGTTCAGGGAGTATTTCGCTTTGTGCCCTGTGTCTGCTTGTGCAGGTTTAAGGATCCTCTAAGATGGAGTGGCTTTCTATCATAGATAGATATAAGGAAAAAAAAACAATTAACAAAATGAAGATTACAATAGATTTTACCCCATATATAAGGCCACGCTGCTGTTGCAGTCGTTTTGCACCAGGAGTGTCCTGTTCTCCGCGTATCTCAGAGGTGTCTAGAAGAAAATCGACGGTGAAAGTTCAGCTTACACTGGCGTGTGAAGCACGTTATACGTTAAGAAGTAAAACTTTTTTTTTTAAAAAGAGAGAAATCACCGCCTCCTGCGAAGGTCTGGCTCGTCCATCCAAGAGCGAGTAGGAATGCCAGCGCCGGCTGTAAGGTAAAAGACTCGTTTGCCACCACTGGGTTACATGGGCCTGTAATCTGAACAGTTTTAATGCCAATTCGCCACTGTTGACACCTGTTTTGTTAAAAGGGAATGACGCATAAATGCAAAGTGATATACTTTTATTTAAGTCATTCTTCATTAACTTGGAGGCTTTTTCAGGGTGTTAATTGCCGTTTTCATTTATAAACGGAGAATTCACGAAAACCGTTAATTCTCTTGGGTTTGGGGGAACACCGAGCAGGACTGCGGTGATACCAGTCCAGAACTACATGTGTTTCTTTGTTATTTGTGAAAGCAAACAATTCGCCGTAAACAGGTTTAAAAAACCAGACGAAAACACTTCTGCTGCCACTGCGGGCAGAAAGCACTGAAATCCAGCCTGAACATCGCAACAAGTTCACCTAAACTGACCTTCCTGAAGAAGATCTCCGCTAGCCTTACCTGCAGCGAGTCAAATAGCACGTTCGCGCCGCAATTGCCAATATAATTAGGATGCTTTTAAAGGGAACATAAGGCATGATACAGTGACAATATTTGCGTTGATGTGGAAAAGAAATCAAGTCTATTTCCGCAGTAGAACCGGTACTCGACACGTCATGAACGCGGGAATGTTCCATGGAAACCGATAAGGGCGCTAATTTTCATAGATAATCTGCGGCACTAGCAAAAAGAATACAATGTAAATGCAATTATTTAAAAAGAAGCTTCTTATACAGGATGTCGCACAATACCTGTTTCCTCAAAGTCCCGTTAAGTCATTGTTTTCCCTAGAGTGATACATGCACATCATTTTCTATATTTCACAATTGTATGCAACTCGTTCTAATGTAATTACTACAGCCATTCAATAAAGTTTCAACCTTTGTACAGAAGAAATGTTCGTTTTGATTTAAATAAACACCAACAAGCAACGTGTGTGTTGTTACGTTTCTAACCCAGTTCTTGTCCTTTACAACAACAAGCATTACTGCTTGAATGAAAGATTTCTAGTATGTATTTCACTGTCACAGGTGTATAATACCCTTAGCTTTCCCGGGAGGTCTCCTATCCAGGTACTGGCCAGGCTCACACCTGCTGAACTTCAGTGGGCTGCCAGCTATGATTTTCAGGTGAATGTAGTTGCAGCTAGTACGACTCACATTAATTATAAATAAATGTTATTTTGCCATATTACGTCTTGCAAAGTATAACATAATACGAAACTCCTTTAAATCTAACATTCACACATAAGTGCTCAAAGACAACATTTTGCAAGTCTACAACTTTGTGAATACACATGTGACAAATAAACGTTTTCCCAGTTTTACAGAACACACATAACTCATCTTGAAGTAGTTCAGGTGGGGGGCTGAGTCAGCATGCGTAGTCTGCAAAGGAACAAGTAAAAGGTTTATTCCATTCTTGTTCTTCAAGAAGGCTTCACAGTCGAAACGTGTTTTCTGTCTTTTCTTTTCAGCATGTAGTAAACCTACAGTATTACTTGTTCCTTTGCATAACTCAGCTCGTTCATATTTGAATCTAGAAAGTGTTAGTTTAGCAGGACAACACCTAGGAACAGTTTTAAACCTTATTTCATTAACTTTGATTGTAAGACAGTATCTGCCAAGGGCTGTCCAAACTGATTTCATATTCATATTTTCAAATATGACAAATATTTGTAGCACAGTCAGGATATACTCGGTCCAACAATCCCGGTTTCGTGTTGTAAACTGTGTGAAGGAGGGGGTGTGGCTCAGATGCTGTCGTAATCAAACGCCGCCGGAAGAGTCTGGTTTCCAAGCCGAAAGCTCTAGATCCAACATGGCCGCCTGCATGAGGATGTGGGGTGCGAGTAGGCAAAGTTACAGAGACGGGGCTGTTTTGGTGAAAAGCAAACTGTGGGCGCTATGCACGGGAACCAGGCAGGTCTCGGTAAGCGGGCTCTCCGGGACCAGCGGACTTGTGACAAAACGCCTGGGCTTGGTGAGCCGCACCGTTTGTAAACCATCGTTAGGCAACGGTAGCGCAGGTATTGCATCAATGACTGGAGCTGCGAGGTCGGCGCGTCTGAGTCAGTGGAGAAGGGTGGCTGGCGTGGGTGCCAACGGGAAGCACTTTGCGGGATCTGGAGAACTGGTTACCTGCAATCAAAGGAGGTATGCCCGGGACTTTGGGAACAAAAGCAGCGCCTACTCCGGCGAGGATGGGGCAGAGAGCGGCGGTTCTGGAGGGGATGAGACAGGAGACGGGGGCGACGGACCTGCGGTGTATCCGCATCCCCAGATGACAGCTCTTACTCCGATGATGGTGCCTGAAGTGTTTCCCAACGTGCCCCTGATAGCTGTCAGCAGGAACCCGGTTTTCCCTAGGTTCATCAAAATAATCGAGGTAAACTAAGCGGCTTGTCAATTCACCTCTATCTTGTGTGACACCACTGATGAAGTTTTTATCAGAATAAACACGTACGGCCTTATCAGAGAACAAGACGTGTGTTGCGCTGGAATTCTAGGAGGGATAGCTTGATTAGGGGAGAAAAGGAGTTCAGAAATATCTTGACATCCGTTTTTTTTTTGCTCGTAACGTGGGACTTACAGCTTCTAACCTTTGACCTTCAGCGGGAGTCAGGCTTATTCAACCATGACCGCTGAATTGCGTCATCCAGATATTTTCAAGCGTTTTGTGAACCATTGTGCTTCTAAAAAAAAAACCTTGACAATAATTGAATGGGGGTTCCTTTACACATTAGTTTTTCTGCTCCTCGCTGCGAAGTTCTTGCTCTGCCAAAAAAAAAAAGGAGGGCGAGGTTGCTGAGTGAATAAATAAGCGAAAAAATATTGATGTTTAACATGTTCATTGCAGAATCTCACTGAGACGGGAGCTTTGTAATAATTTCATCATTCAAGGCCAGCTCGTCAAAACAAATTACAAACTGTAGATCACCATGTTGAACTGCTTTTTTTTTAGTAATATTTATTTTAATAATTTTTTATTAGTATATTCGACTGATCCTCTTAGCCAGGCTGACTATGAAGAAATGTATTTTTTAACGTACAGATTTTGGTGTCCATTTATATTGCTGGGTAAAGGGATACATCAACAGTATCTACCAGTGATTTGAACCAGTGAAGAGGAGTTATGAGTCCAGAACCCTAATCAGTACCCCACACTGCCACCCCTGTGGTGCCAGTGTAGCGTGACTGTTGCTGGCTCTTTAGGATGAACACTCACAACTGCAGCAGATGTGGATCCCAGTTCTTATGTGATTACTGTGCTTTTCCCAGGTGAAGAACAATCAACTGGTAGACCTGCTGAGAACGAAGGTTCGTCTGGCGCAGCCCTACGCTGGGATCTTCCTCAAAAAAGATGACAGGTACAGACATTAGCCTCACTGCTGCAAACAGGAAATCCTGCTTTCTGCTCGCAAAGCAGTGCTGGGAAAGAATACGGACATGATACGTACTGACGTTTTGCTTATTTAACTTATTTAACAGTCTGTTGTGTCAACGGTCAGTTATCTTGCACATTCTGAATGCAACACAGCAGGAACTTCAGTGCTGATTATGAGCATGAATACATTGTAAACCATCAATATCAGCTGCCATCCCCACTCTGCCCTTCCCTCTTGATCCACACATCTGGAAAGTCTGGTTTGCAGCATGAATTTGCATGTGGAGTGTGTGTGCGCCTGTCATTTTGGAAAGTCAGTATTGAAGAAGAAAAGGCTGTCATGCTTGAAGCTTGAGACAAATGTAACCAGAGGGTGAATTTCCTATCCTATCCTGGAAGGCAAGGGCGAGGTATGCATGTGTTTTGTTTAAACCGAGCCTTCTACACCTCCTGGTCAGAAGGTGGGAGCTTGTCTCACTCCAGAGGTTGACCGAGAATCTCTTTTCTCCCCCTGGGTCAGTGACGAGTCGGACGTGGTGGAGAGCCTGGAGGCTGTCCACCACACTGGGACCTTTGTGCAGATCCACGAGATGCAGGACCTGGGAGACAAGCTGCGGATGATTGTCATGGGCCACCGCAGGTAGGGGCTGCAGGCCCGTTGTCATTCATAGAAGCGTCCCAGCAACCCGGCAGCAACATCAAGGGCTCTTCTGGCTCCCCGTGGGTTAGACTCCAAACCCGAGATCAAAGCCCCGAGCGAGGGAGTTCAACAGAGCCAGCTTTAATCGCTCTCCGGGGGGAGAGAATCTCAGCGACAGGGACCCCTGTTACACCAACAGCTCTCACAATCGTGAAGGGGACACAGCTGCTTGTGTCCAGCTCTTCTTGCATCATAAAAGCCGTTCGTTTCACCAAAGTCTATTCATTCTAACAGTGATTTTACATTGATTGTTATCACGTCTCAAGAACTCATATATATGCATCCTACTCCCTGCCTCTGTTTACTGTGTGCTCCCTGCTAGGAAGTTTTCTCATTCCGAGAGTTCCTGGCTAGGTGTTCGGACTGCCCAGCCCAATCCTGCGGCCATATTTACTGGCCGGTGTCATTGGTGTTGAAGTGGAGTATCGCGGGCTTCCCCGGACCAGGTTGCGTGTGAGCTGTGGTTGCTCCCCAGTGTCTTTCCGCGAGCTGTCGTGATCCCGTGGAGGCGCGGCAGAGTGAGACCCGTCTGCCCCCCCCTGTGCCTCCAGGATCCGCATCACCCGGCAGCTGGAGGTGGAGCCGGAGGAGCCGCAGCCGGAGGAGGAGGAGGAGGGGGGCAAGCCGAAGGCCCGGCGCAAGGCGAAGCGAGGCAGGAAGGAGGGCTCCCTGGGCGCGGCCGTGGAGGAGCGCGTGCAGCAGGCGGAGCTGGCGGTGGAGCCCGGCAGGCCCCCGGCCCCCGGCGAGATCCTCATGGTGGAGGTGGAAAACGTGCAACACGAAGACTTCCAGGTCACCGAGGAGGTCAAGGTAGTGCCCCCAGCTTGTCCAGGCTCAGCTATGAGCTGGATCCCTAAGAGTTCTATCAGACTGGACCAACGTGAGAGACAGCAGGTGATGGGAGTACAGATTGGTAGTTCTCTTTAGTACCTGCTCTTTCATTGAGTTCTGCAGCTTTGCTCATGACATCACACTGCCCATACGTACTTTAATTTAAATGAAAGCTAAATGCCAAAAAGTATCAAATTGAAAAAAGTATAATTTTGGTTCCCTTTTTCTTAAATAGGCTCTAACAGCAGAAATAGTCAAGACCATTCGTGACATCATTGCCTTAAATCCGCTCTACAGGTACAGTAATTACAATATTATTCTTTTATGTTGATAACCTCAGTCTGGACTGTCTGCAGGCTTTCCTTGAAAGATTACATCTTACCATTATGGTACAGCACAGAATCATTTAGTGCCACCTGCACCTTGCAAAGGAAATATAGGACCTTTCTGAAGCTTTCAGAAAAGGTGCTTGCTTCCTTTGACATTTGTATCTGATTTCAAAATTCATTTCTCCCAACAAATTGACTGGGTAGGTTGTTCCACACTCCCACAACCCTCTGGGTCAAGAAATGCCTCCTGTTCTGGGATTAAAATGCACTTCCACTTAGTTTCCACTTGTGACCACTCGTTCATGTTTCACTGGTCAGTCTGAAGAAATATGCTTGGTTGAATTTGTCCCCTTGTAGTCCTCTGTTGAAGGTTCAGTTCCTTCAGTCTGTTGATGTAAGACACTCCCTGAAGCCCAGAAATGTGTATGTTTACTTTTCTCTGAACTGATTTCAGTGTAGCAATATCTTTTCTGTAACATGGTGACCACAGCTGTCCACAGTCTTCTAATCAAGGCCTCACTTTAATAATTGAAATGTTTTATTTAATGTAAGAAATGAAATTGAGTGCAAAGCAAGACATTTCCCAAGACCTCTGGGATCTGAACTCTCCTCTGCTGCTGTAAATACGCTTCCTGAGGCACAATGTTTTGGTTTCCTCAGAGAGTCCGTTCTCCAGATGATGCAGGCTGGACAGAGGGTGGTGGACAATCCCATCTACCTGAGTGACATGGGGGCGGCTCTGACCGGAGCAGAATCCCATGAACTCCAGGATGTCCTAGAGGAGACCAACGTAAGTTGAGCCGAGAGAGTCGCAGGGATGTGAGAGATGAGGATAAGATGGAACCTGTGTGTTGACACTTGTGTAACACTGAATAGCTGAACAGTTTGCATTCTTTATGAGGTTCTGTCATCCCATTTAATAATTGAAGACCTCAGATGCCTATAGCTTTAAGTCCACCACTGTGGTCTGATGGGCGGTAGGTGTTTGCACCAGGTTAACAGCAGCCGTTTTGATTTTTAGAGTTCACTGTGTCAGAGCTTGCCCTGTAGAATTCTGTAATTGTCTTAATACCCCTAATGGCCAGCAGGGACTTGAAATTCCCTCCAGTAGATATAGTCTGTGAATCTGGGCTTCTGGCCTGGCGGGACTCCAGAGTCACGTCAAATGACATGAGAGCGCAGACCGGAGGTGGACACTGGTTAGAGTTCGGCACCCAGATGGGAATTGAGCGCTGCTAAAAAAAGTGAGTTTCACCAGTGTTTTTTTTTTCATTAAACTTGAGTCAGTCCCTTAACAACCTAATGATATCAGAACATTCAACATGTGGGAGGAGAGAGAATTCAGGACTTCCCCTGCCAGTCCCCCTTGGCTTTAAAAACTTGTCGTCCAACAAATGAGACCTTTTTTGACTGTCAAAGGAAGTATTCATTACAATATATGAGCACCATACATTCCAGTTCCAATTCAGCCGTTCTCAATATATGAGCACTTTTTACTCTTTTTGTATACAAATGCCAACATTCAACATTCAATCAGACGTGCAGAGTTGAAAGGCACTGCCTGGGGCACTGCAGGGTATTGAATCCCGCCGTTCTTCTGCAGATCTCTGCAAGACGTGCTCTGTGGTGTCCGTGCAGAGTGAGTGTGATTTCCATTTCCGTGTTTCCCTGCAGATCCCGAAGCGGCTGTACAAGGCCCTCTCCCTGCTGAAGAAGGAGTACGAGCTGAGCAAGCTGCAGCAGCGCCTTGGGAGAGAGGTAGGCATGGGACTGCTGACCTTCCTCGTCAGGCCCCACTCGTTAAACTGAATCAGATCAATCAGATTTACCCACTAACTAATTTTCCCCGTGAAGAAGAGATGCTACAAAAGCAGCTATTTCTTTTGATGGGGAAGATGTCTGCAATGAGAAGTTCTCATGCGCTGACGATTTTCCACAGTGCACAATACACAATATTCAGCAATATTGGAGAAGGCCTGTCGTGTTAGCACTGTTATGAAAGACATTGGTAATTGGTCCATGTGGTGTGGTCGGCAGCGTTAGTAGTGAAGATCAAAAGACACTGAATTTGTGTGTGCAATGATCAGAAGTTGCCCTTCCTATAAATAACATGAATCCTGTTGAATACACAACCCTTTGTATAGTCCTGGATGTTGGGTCAACCCTTTGGATTCAGAATGGAGGATGAGAAATATCTCCTGGTGACAGTTGTTGACTAAACCATGGGATTTTTCGAGTTTTTCACAATGACACAAACCATGTGCAATTTGCCTGAAGGCTCTGTGTTCTGAAATATTGAATTAGCTTTATGGACCTGTCAGGCTTTGATTGGGGGTAGTGATGGTTGTGGTGTCCCTTCAGGTGGAGGAGAAGATCAAGCAGACCCACAGGAAGTACCTCCTGCAGGAGCAGCTGAAGATCATCAAGAAGGAGCTGGGCCTGGAGAAGGAGGACAAGGACGCCATCGACGAGAAGTTCCGGGAGAGGCTGAAGGACCGCGTGGTGCCGCAGCACGTCATGGAGGTCATCGATGAGGAGCTCAACAAGCTCGGCCTGCTGGACAACCACTCTTCTGAGTTCAAGTCAGTCCTTGCACATACAGTACATCTGGATTTTCCGTCTGTTCCCCTCAATTTCATGAGTGTATGGTGGAATAACTGAGCATTGGTGTAGCTTTTGAATTGTTTCATATTCATTCATTGTTTGTCTGTGTGCAACAGCAATGCTTCATAGTTTCAAACTACTTTCTAAAAGGATCATCAAAATCTTGTGCATCTGCAGTTTTGTCCCTTACTGGAATTCATGTGAATTGCTGGTCGGTCCAGATCTTTTACATAAAATCGAGTGTAGAAAAGCTGTTGAGACTCAGTGTATTTACCGGCTCTTGTGGGCCTTCCCAGTGTGACCCGGAACTACTTGGACTGGCTGACCTCCATGCCCTGGGGCAAGTACAGCGAGGAGAACCTGGAGCTGGGCCGGGCCAGAGAAGTGCTGGAGGAGGACCATTATGGGATGGAGGATGTGAAGAAACGTATCCTGGTGCGTCTTGAGATCTTGTTCCAATATACTGAATCATTTTTTATTCCGATAAATGTCTCAAGTATGCAGTATGTCCTTGGGATATCCTTCCTGGGGCACTTTTGCATTTCTTGGCACCTAGTCCTATAATTGGGTGAACACGAGCTTATATTAATAAACAGGCTTTTGCTTCTGAATGTGGAATTCTTTAGCGTTTTCTTAGGCAGCTATAAAAAGCATTTATTCAGTAGCAGAACACATCCAATTGGAGAGGAACATTGCCTTTCTTTGGAGGTTATTTATCCTGTAAAACAGTGAATAATTAAAAAAGGAAGGTAATGCTCAAGACGTGTAGCCCGGCTGTGCTGTCTTCAGCCACCCTCAGCGAGGTGTCGCCTGTGGGTGTTTCGGGGCCGGAGGAGCCCCGTCTCGGTGCCAGCCCCTCTGCCCCTTGCCCTCTGCCCCACAGGAGTTCATTGCGGTGAGCCAGCTGCGGGGCTCCACGCAGGGCAAGATCCTGTGCTTCTACGGCCCCCCCGGCGTGGGCAAGACCAGCATCGCCCGCTCCATCGCCAGGGCCCTGAACCGCCAGTACTTCCGCTTCAGCGTGGGCGGCATGACGGACGTGGCAGAGATCAAAGGGCACAGGTGCGTGGCCCCTCGCCAGCCTGCACGAGGAGTTTAAAGGCATCAAGGCCGAAGATCCCTTCTTCAGAAGATTCCTCCTCTTCTCATTTTGTCAGCGAGGAAAAAAAAATGTCAAATCTTACAATGAGTGGAACAGAGATCTTTGAGAAGAAAAGTATGCTCTTATTCAAGACCCATGTGGGACTTATTGCCCCCTGACCAGGTATTCTTCAGTGCTTCATGAGTAGTGCTAACGGATTTATTTGTGCCAATACACCCAGTTAAATGGGCTCCATGGCTAATCAAAGTATTGCACTTTCGGTCATTTAGCTCCAGGTACGTACTTTTCAGGCGCAGAAAGAAACATTGTTCTTAAAATAATGGGGAATTAATATCTGCCAGTGATGGTCCAGATTCTGACTTCCAATAGGAAGGGACATTCCCCTCCAAACAATATTTGAAAGTAAACAGGGAGCTATGCCCCACAGGAGGAATAAGGGAATAGAATGGTGACAGATTGTATTTCAGTTAAATGGCACCAAAGAAGAAGAAAAGCCCATCATTGTTGAGAAGGATCAGCTATGCAGGAGCTATCCAGTGTCCAGCGGGAGGAGATTCTAGCAATCGGTCAAATGTACTGAAGGGCTTTTCTTCTTACAGTCTTATGTGTTCCTTTCAGGAGAACATATGTGGGAGCAATGCCAGGAAAAATCATCCAGTGCCTGAAGAAAACAAAGACGGAGAATCCCTTGGTCCTCATAGATGAGGTACTTTTCCTCTGCCTGATAGACACTACTTGTGCACTTAGTACGCAGTGGGTTTTAGCAGCAGAGGCACTGCCCACAGTCACTACAGTGAAGATTGTTTCAAAACAGATGGAATTATTTTTCTGTGAACCATGTCTGTTTTAAATCTGTTACTGTTAGAGTGAAACAAATTAGTAATTTTTTTTAAAGAAATGTAAAGCATTTTAATGTTATTTGCTCTAAATGTGGATTACTATGAACAGACCTTTGTCGAGGCCAGTGTGGGCCAGACAGCTGAAAACCAGTTTGGTATTCATTAATCCTTTACTTGTGCAAGGACTTTGGCAGGCCTGATGTTTTCATAAATCATTTCAAGGAGAATTAATCTTGTTTGCATGACCGTACACAAAAAAAGGAATATGACAGAAGTGCTTTCAATTGTGTAAATTCCGGGGTGATGGAAGAAACCATCCTGGAAGAAGCATATTTTTATCTTGCTAAGGGCTGTACTGAGCAGGTCTTGTTGTTGCAGGTTGATAAGATTGGTCGTGGTTACCAGGGTGATCCGTCTTCCGCCCTGCTAGAATTGCTCGACCCGGAACAGAACAGCAACTTCCTGGATCACTACCTGGACGTGCCTGTGGACCTGTCGAAGGTCAGTGACCCTGGGCAGCACTGGACTCCTGCTCTGCTGCTAGAGCACCGCATGGGATGGAGAAATATCCCAATTTGATTGAGAGAATAATCATCTCCTCTATCCTCACCCAAACGAAATTGTGATCTGGATGTCACAATATATTCCAGTTGTTTTAATAATAACTTTAATTAGAGTGAAACAAACACAGAACAAGTCCCAGTATAGTATACAGGGCAGTGGTGTATGCTCTTATTCTAGTTTCTGTTTTTTCTTTTCCCCACCTGAAGAAATACTAGCAAGCATAGATTGGCTTTTAAGTTCTCCTCTTCTCCAGTGCCCTGTTGGGGACTGAAGCCCCATTCCTGAAGTGGAGGTGAGGGGGGTATAGTCCTGTTCTTTCAGTCCTACCTCTTTCTGAGATAGGCTTTGAATTCCCAGGACCTTCACCAGGATAGGTGCCTAACTGAAAATGGGTGGTGGGTTTTATTGAAGGTATTTTCGTTAGTGTCAGCTAACTGCTTCTTCTGTGAACAGATCTGGACCTCAGGGTTCCTCAGAAAGCCCGAGTTATGTGCTAAGCAGTACGGTCTGTTCTTAGGTGCTGTTCATCTGCACTGCCAACGTGACCGACACCATCCCTGAGCCCCTGCGAGACAGGATGGAAATGATCAATGTGTCGGGATACGTGGCACAGGAGAAACTGGCCATTGCAGAGGTAGGCTAAAGAGGCTCTTGGCTGGAGGAAGACACTGGTTTGAATTCACGTTCATGTTTAATGCAGCGTTCATCCTGTTACAGCAGTGTTTCTCAACCTTTTCCATCCCACGAGGCGCGTAACCATAGAAACCGAGATTGTACGACACACAATAATATTCTAAACCAAACCCCTTTCGGTTTCGTGCTGTGGGGGTGGGGGTGGGGCAGGTGTCTCCAGCGCACTCATGTGCGGCCGTGGGCTGGCTCTCTCTGGCAGAGGTACCTGGTCCCTCAGATGCGGACGCTGTGCGGGGTGGACGAGCAGAAGACCAGCATCTCCTCGGAGGCCCTGACTGTCCTCATTAGGCAGTACTGCAGGGAGAGTGGGGTCAGGAACCTGCAGAAGCAGGTGGAGAAGGTGAGGAGCCTGAACTTTCTGATTGAAAACAGTCACACTGGAGAGAAGGAAAGACCATAATAAAGTATAAGTGTGAATGTGAAACTTCTCTTATTCTAGTAAAATGGGCTTAGTTTACACTCTTCTCATTTTCACTTTGGAGTGTTTAGGTCAGTTGTTGTTGAAACTACAGGCACTTAAAACCAAGAGCACGAGGAATTTCTTTACCCAGAGGTTTGCTGCAGTATGGACCAAGCTACCCAGCCATGTTGTTGAAGCTGATACCTTGGCTTTTTACAAACAGCATCTGGATGAGATCCTTGGAACAATTTACTTCTAACTATCAAGTTAACTACTAAGTGGGGTAGATGGGCCAAATGGCTCCTTTGTAATCTTTCTTATTTTAAAATGTTGGGATCTGTCATTTAGATGGACATTGAAAATGGGGATTGAAGGCATTTTAAAATCTTGTTGTATGTACTTTTTAGTGAGGCTCTGCAGCGATCTGTTATCACTGTACTGTAAGTATTATTGGATGCTTTTGAAGGTTTACAGTGCTCCTCATAGCACTGTAGATACGGTATTTTTAAGGGCTGCCAAAGTTTATCTCTTTCTTGCAACCAGTTGCTGTTCACTTCTTCACATGCTGAGTTCTCCCTCTGTTCTGTTTGTGCGGTAGGTGTTCAGGAAGGCTGCCTACCGTATTGTGAACGGGGAGGAAAGCTCAGTGCAGGTAACAGCTGACAACCTGCAGGACTACGTGGGCAAGCCCATCTTCACTGTGGACAGGATGTATGACGTCACCCCCCCTGGAGTGGTCATGGGCCTGGCCTGGACAGCCATGGGTGAGGGTCCTGCACTGGACAGCACTCTGAGTGCTGGTTTTTCACGAACACTATGCACGTCAAGAATGCCCATTGAGCGTGGTCCGTGTATCTTCGTAGGAAACTCCTCTTTTAGTGAGAAAAAATTGTAAAATGTTAATGCAGACACTCCCTTTTTGCCCTTTTGACACTTTCCCATCCGAAATAAAGGATTCGTCCCCTCTCACCCTGTTCTCACAGGTGGCTCCACGCTGTTCATCGAGACGTCTCTGAGGCGCCCCCCGGACGCGACGGGCAAGGAGGGGTCCCTGGAGATGACAGGGCAGCTGGGAGACGTGATGAAGGAGAGTGCCAAGATCGCCTACACCTTCGCCCGGGCCTTCCTCCTGAAGGAGCAGCCCTGCAACGACTTCCTGGTCGGATCCCATCTGCACCTGCATGTGCCCGAGGTCAGCCTCACCGTCTCTTAACTGTATTGTCACCGAATTAAAACCCAGTGTTGGCTAGAAATAGTATGCTTATTTTCTGATTACATAGGCGGAAGAGGGCTTGGTTGCATGCAAGTATGAAAATGGTACATTTTTGCTTAACGTTGTCAGTTTTTCTTCTCGTGCGCTGTGCTTTGCAGGGTGCCACGCCAAAGGATGGGCCGAGTGCTGGGTGCACTATTGTCACGGCCCTGGTCTCTCTTGCCACAAACACGGCGGCACGGCAGAACGTGGCCATGACAGGGGAGGTGTCCCTGACCGGCAAGATCCTGCCCGTGGGTGGCATCAAGGAGAAGACGATCGCGGTGAGTGAATGGGAAGAGCCGTCTCTCCTTGCCTGGCCGCCTCGCACTACCAGCGCTGCAGAGAGCCTCTGCTCTTTCACATGGAGATCAGCGGGTGTGACTGTCAGCATGCAGCTCACTTGTGACAGTAGCCATCAGGCGCTTGGTAAAGAATAAAATCTGCAGAAAAGTAATCTAAGACATATGCATGTTGTACATTTCTTATGGTGGAGGTTTAGTATCATCAAAGCACGTTTTGCAAATGATTTTATTTTCTAGTTGTAAGCCCCGTACAGCATTTTCATATGCAAAGTCCTGTTCCCCCTGACTGTGTCCTTTTCCTTCCCTGCTGTAGGCCAGGAGAGCTGGGGTTACCTGCATCATCTTGCCTGCAGAGAACAAGAAAGACTACTCGGACCTGCCCGACTTCATCACCGAGGGGCTGGAGGTGCACTTCGTGGACCATTACCAGCAGATATATGACATTGTTTTTCCCAAGCCCTGATGCTGGCACTGTGCAGGTCAGGCTCACTGTTTCCGAATGGCCTCCTTCTGAAGCGTCACTACAGTGCGTCTCTTAAGCGAAATCCTGGACACCACCACCGGTTTTGTGTTGATCGAGATATGGAAAAATCCTGATGAGAATGGACTTAATTTTTCTGCTTGGTCCACTATGTATAGAACACAGAAGAGCTCCTCATCATGATTGAAAATAAATGTGAACCCTGGTCCAGGCTACTGAAAACAAAAGGATGAAGTGCCGACATCCTGCAAAATGGACTGATACAGAAAAGTGAAACTTTTTTTGCTGTCTAGCCCAGATGCATATGCCTTGCTTTTTTGCCATGGCAGACAAATCTTGTTATCCCAAGGACACTTGTTTAAAGACAATAGATCTTGCTGCTAAGCAGTGTAGACTTTGGAGATGAATCATAAACTGAAACATTTTGTACAAACTTTTAATGTTGTCGGTGGCATTGCCTTTAAATATACTAAAGTAAAAATTATTTAAAAATTGTTATACGAGTTCTTTATCTTTCTTTAAAGCTGATGTATAAGCCAGAGATCAAATCACATCTGGTTACTCCTAGTAAATAGTTTAGTAGTATCTATCTAAATCCAAAAGTAAAAAGGAACTACTACAAGAGAAGATAAGCTTCTTTTGAAGCTTATGTGATTACTAACCAAGTTCAAAAGCTCATTCCCAATTTCTCTTAAGATTTTAGTACTTGTATAAACCATTTTCTGTTTGGAACAGCCTTAGGACAGATGCTATGAAGATAAAAATGAATTAAATTGTGCGTAGTACTGAAAAGCATAACTGGGATGTTCCATTAAAACATGTTATTTCTGTGGAAAATACTACTTTAGCTCAAAAACATGGAAAGGCAGACTTACTTCCAACATTATGAACTGGTTGCTTTTACATCCCAAAACAAAGCACAGCAGATTGCATTTTTTTGGAAATATTTATTTTGTACTATTACACAACTTATTCCTTCTTGGCAGCAGCCTTTCTCATTGCAGCCAGGACGTTGCTGAGCTCTTCCCTCTTTCTCTTGGCGCGGATGTGAGTTCCCACCTGTAAGCACAGATGCGCTTGAGAACCATATGCAAGACAGGTAGGCATGTATAAATCTCCCTGCAAGGTGCTGCGCTCATCAGATACGACCTAATCTGGACAGTCTTTTGGAGGTTTGTGTAATGCCTCAGGTCTAACCTACCTGGGCAATCTCTGTCATTCACATATTTGGTATTTACTAGATCAAAAACTAGACAAATCCTCTAAGAGTTTTTTTTCCCCCCCCACTGAATACACTGCTTTATATTAACACTATTCAAAGGAATTCCAAGGTCTTCAAATACTGAGAGAGCTAAGAACAGGTTTTTGAGCTGAGTGTAAAGGTGTAATAAATAATAAAGGTATATTGGGCAGATCTCTCGTTAATTAACATGAGTAGTTTTATAAATGCCCTGAAAGATTTCACAAATGCAGTTTGGCACAGGTTTAGGGTGGAACATGGAAATGCAAATCCATGTACAGGTAAGTATGAATAGTTGATAAATGTACTGTCAATCAGGCACAAACTACTTAACACTTAGGAACAAGTAGAGACTATATTGGCCGAAAACTTGCCTCTCTTTTCTCCATAGTACAGAATACACCTTTACTTTTCCTTTGCAGCCTATGCATGCTGATGCAGCTGCCTACTTAAGCTTTTTCCAACCTACTTAACACTTAACTGTACATGAGTGAACTAACTGTGAAATAAAAGTAGATGCAAGAAAACTGGAGATGCTAATCATAAGGAAACCGGACATCCACTGTCCAATTCACTTACAACGAAGTCACCAGCTGTCACTAACCGTCACTCGGCCTACACCAGCACATACAAACTGGGGGACCACGCACACGTACCCTTTTCTTGATGAACTTCAGAGCACGTTTGTCCTTGGACACCTTCAGCAACTCCATGGCGCGCCTCTCGTAGGGGGCGAAGCCACACACCTCGCGGATCATATCGCGGACGAACTTGGTGTGCTTGGTCAGGTGCTGCGGACGCGGCAGAAAAACCAGGCTTGGAAACGACCAACAAAAACGCACACTACTGCAGATAATATGCTTGCCCCCCCAAAATGAACACCAGTTCAAAACTAGTTGAAAAAACGAACTACTGGTTTTCAGAAGCAAAGATCGAGAAGCCAATTTGATAACTAAGAATTTCCATTTAGTTCTCCCCTTTAGTAGACCTTGACTTCAAGGATAATCCAAAAAGCATCTAAACACACTTGCATTTATAGCTAGTTGTGAGAAAAGGTTCTCCATTTGTTTACAATGACATATTGTGTGACATTAAATATTTGAGGTAATTATGCAGTTGTGTACTACTGACCACAAAAGTCTACAAGAAGTTCAGAAAGAAACATAGAGATTAACAAATTAACAAAGCCCCTCTAGTGCACTATTCTAACAGAAAGCACTGCCTTCGGTCTCTGGCATAAAGAATAATGGCTTTACAAATAAGATGGTATCTACTTCATTATCTAGTTTCAGGTGCACCAATGCAGAAGCAGCAGACTGGACATTGGCAGCTTCTGAACACTCACCCCTCTCCTACGGCTGTGTTTGGGCTTGGCCACATTCTTGGTGACTGGGTGGCCTTTGTTAAGGCCAACAGCCATAGGATACCTGATTGCCATGTCTGGGGAAAAAAATAAATAAAAATCAGTTAAAGGGCATCACACCTGTACGAGATCGGGGCTTTCATTGTTTCCCTGCAGTTACAAGAAACCTACAAGTAATGAATACACTCCCCCCATCTGTTATTAGAAAGCTACAGTAAGTTTCGCAACACCCAGAGCCCACACCTGAAGCTGGGTACAAGGTGAGACTATACCCTGAATGGACCCCACTCCGTCAGAGGGCATCTCTGCACACATGCAGTCTACACACTGACACAGATTAACCCTGCCAGCATGTTTTCATGGGTTGCAAGGGACCCCATGTGATCACTGGAGATCATGCAAACCTTCCACACAAGAAGATACCCCCCCATCCTTCAACTGAACTCGGGTCTCAAGACCTGTAAGGCAGCGGTGCTAACCTCCCTGCCTGCCACCTAATGCACACCTGGACAAAATTACAGGCGTCAAATTACTATGACGACACCCAACTTCAGTGCAGAAGCACTCGGATTTGACCTGGAACCAACTAGTGATCAGGGTAGTATATTATTTGGGACGGGGGGGTTCTCTTTTTGTACATTTGGGGCTATTAACTAAACATTTTAATATGTACACTTCTTTACAGCGCTGCTAAAAAGAACATTTTAAAAGAAATCAAGCTCGCATAATCGACACCCGCCTAGCACGAAAACAAAAGCACGCTGCTTAGTGTTCACCTTTGAACAATAACGCTACGACCCTCTTCAAATGATTCCATATCAAACTGTGTAAAGTCAAACATCGTACGATGACAGCATGACAACATTTTACATTTAAGTCGTTTCTTATTGTAGCTAGTGGCCCGACACCTTCTTTCACCCTATATTTTACATCACCCTCATAGAAGAGGATACAAAAACAGAATGCAGCGCGTTTTTTTAGGATGTATTTAACACTGTAATACAGGTAGGCAATGAACACAACTGCGCGACACCACTGTAAATCCAAATGCTTATTAAACGCAATGAATGGTGCCTCTGGGCACAGAGAGGAGCTCTACTTATTAGCCGCACAGTGACAGTTATCCGCGATGTATCCAAACAATATCGTTCACAAGCTGAGGTGTACAGTAGAGATTTTCAGTGTAATGGTTCCACTATAACAAAAATGGACCGATGCTTCAGATTTCGTTAAGATTGTAATCCCACAGCCAAGGACCATCTTTCTTACCTTCTTTCTCTAATGGCGGACACACAGGAAGGACCTTGCCACGGCGGAATGCTGGGAAATCTGACTTCCTCCCTCAGCAGAAATAAGGAAGGCGAAAATCTTAGAGCGCCCTCTACTGGACAGACTGATTATCGAAAACCGGTTCTTCTCAGGACAAGTACCTGAACAGTAAGCAGAAAAACACCACCTAACTCTTACTACTGAGGTTGAAGTGAAACTTTACAGAAAAGCCAGTTCTTGAAACGTTTTCGTTTTGAATCTGCAAGCAGGTCATTCGTTCAATTAAGCAGTTTAAAGATTTTTTTTTTAATGTCAACGACTTGTAGCTCTCGGTGAGCAGTTGCCAGTCCTGATATATAAACGAACCAATTTATAAGAACACTCACATGTGGTATATGCCTTTGCGCATTGGCGGTTTATAGTTAACTTGAAAAGACCTGATTATGGCTCTCCAGGACCAGAGCTAGCAACAACAATTAAATGACAGTGAAGCTAGGGGTTTCATTACTTATATAGAAACTACGACTCTTGTGTCCAACAGAAGCCCGTAAATTTGAAAATGGTCCACTGAGTATCAAGGGACAAATACGAATGATTTTTCTGCCAGAATAGGCAGAGAACCAGAGAGCCTTGCATAGTAACACAGAACATAGTCTTCAAAATAAAGTCCTCAGGTCATTCTCCAAAACAGGTCCGGTGGACAGTTTCACTTCAAGATGCGAGAATCTTAAGTTTTGCTTTGTAATGAAATACCAGTGTCTCAAACAATACAAACCTTAAAGCTTAAAGCATTCGAGTGAAATGCTTTAAAATGGGTTCGCTTTAATTTTAATTAAATCCAAACTTTGGTTGAAAACAAGGCACCAGCCCTGCGCAGTATTTTCCTATACATGTATGCAGTAACAGTACTGCAGCATTATAGAGGTAGCCTCGAGCAAAACTCATCTTCACACCGGAGTTAAGATCCAGATGAGTGTAAAACTTAAAATCCACCTTTTGACCGCCTATTTCATGCATCTTTCCATTGCAAATGAAATACGGGGTCTCTGGGGAGAGGGATTTTAGTGCCGAAGAGGCTTGTCTGATTTTGTATTGTTTTGACGCGACTAAAAAAAAAAGACCGTCGCCCTTATCTGAAAATTAAAATGGAAACGCGGTACTGTGTTCGAATAAAGTCCATCCCCATGATGATGATAATAATAATACCGATAGCGGTTAGTTTATGGTATTTCTGGTGGGGCGCCAGATTTTGAAAGCCGCGTTCGCCCTCTACAAACAGCAATGTATCTCGACCAATGGGAGTACTTGCTTTTTTCAGACCTGGCCAATCATCTGCGTGGGGGCGTGGAAACGTACAGGTCAAGCTTCACCCCACCTCGTCCCGCAATGCACTCTGGTACTCGTAGTATTAAGAGTCCAGCTATACTTGTTAACCTTTATCTTTTTTATCTGTTCTTGACATAAACCTGTTGTTCCTTATAGAGTCGTTTATGGTACATATGATATATTAGAAGTTCATATGATACTGCTATAATATGTAGTTGGAGTCACACGACACTTTTTTAAAAGATACGTTTTGAATTATTTTGTTTTGAACAAAGTTGATACTGTATCTTGCGTTGTTGACTATTAAGGTAATAAACTTCATTATTTGGGGGGGGGAATTAAATGAGAACCAGAAAACTGCAGTTACCAATACGAAAGAGAATTTTTATGTCTTCACTCCAGTAAAAAACGTTTGTCCTGATACAAGAAATGACAAAGTCTTGAGCAGACTGACAATTCGGTGCAAGTCATTTTCTTCTGGAAGTGATAAACGCAACTGCAATTCGTTATAATTAAAGAACTGTAACCTGATGTGCTTTAATTCCCTTTATACGTTATTCCTTTTTCAAACAGTGTCACTAACAGGGAATTTGCTATTAAGATCTTAGCGTATAAAGGCCACTGAAGTCGTACCACACCTGGAAAAAAATGAGTTATATAAAGACGAACAGACAATATGAGCTAAAGAACTACAAGTCCCAAAGTCCTGCGCGCCACACGTTTTTGGCGCGGGCTGCGTGGGCCTCGGCCATCTTTGGCAGAGCCTTTCCTAACTGTACGGGAGACTCCGACTTCCTTCATTGAGCGAGCGTGGTGTGAATGAATTAAAACAGTTACAAACAAAAACCGGGGTTAAACGCGTAGAAAAAAAGAATCGAAGGGGGTTAAGCTTCAATAGTTAGCATTTCTCTATAAGTAGTGCGGTAGAAGCGCAGCGAGTTTTTTTTTTCCTCCCCCAGCAGAACTCCGGTTATCAATATTTTTTGGTGTGTGTGTGTGTGAGATGGCGACTGCGACCCCCAGCCGCTCAGCCGCCGGGACTCCCCGGCAGAGTGCGGACACGCCGCTCTCCCCGACCCGCATCTCCCGGCTGCAGGAGAAGGAGGAGCTGCGGCACCTCAATGACCGCCTGGCCGTCTACATCGACCGCGTCCGGGCTCTGGAGCTGGAAAACGACCGGCTGATGGTGAAAGTCTCCGAGAAGGAAGAGGTCACCACACGAGAGGTAGGTTTTCCGTGCCTGGGCGATACACGCGGGGTGCTATTCAGTATTTAAAGCCCAAACTGTGTGTTCGAGATTTCTTTTTTTAACATTTTAAAACAGAACTTAGTGCAGTCCAGGCTGCGATGGACGTACCTGTCTCTAAAATGCAAACCTATGTAAAAATCCAGGAATCCCCCGCCCCTTGTGTGTGCATAGGGACTGGTTGTCTTTGCATTGGACTGGTTTTGTCTGCGGGTGTTTTCCTACGACTCTTACTCCAGTATCAGCGGCGTCATCTTTGCAGATCTGAGTGGTTTTGCTCAGATTCCCGATGCTCTTTCTAGATGAATTGAAGGGGGGGGCGCTCGGTGCTTTGCTGTGGGGACAGTGTTGCCGTATTCAAAATCGCGCGGGTGGGCACTTGCGAGAGGAGCTGGGTTGTAGATCGGACTGGGGCTCCGAGATTGACACGCCGGAGTGCGTTTTTGTCTCCGCTGCACCCAACTGCACCGACATCGATGGGGTCTGCCCGTCTGCGGGGTCTTCAGCAGCTCTTCCAGCAGCCCTTAAGACATGCATCTGAAGCGTGCGTGTCGGTATTTTACGAGCTCGGGTGTGCATGTGGTAAAAAATGAAGCCCTTCGCCACCCCCTGACGAAACCCCCCACCACCACCACCCCTCTCCCGTAGTGTGATTTTATTTTTGCGCGTATTTTACTTGCTCTCTCCTCCAGACACAGTCTCAGGTGTCGCACCCCGTGGCGGACACGGGGGTTGATCCGTGTGGCATGGCAGTGTAGTAGACTGAACACGCCGGTGTTGGAGATGGCAAGAAAGGGTGTTGTTGGGGGGGACTCGGTTTCCCCGGGCGAGCTGAACTGGAAACGTGGTATTTGAACAGATAGAGGACGCTGGCGCCGTCAGTCCTTTTGAAAGCCCGCAGCCCCCGTCCAGGAAACGTCTTGTACTGGTGCCTTGTCCCAAGTTATTTTGACTTTGAGCAGACTTTTCAAGACTTTTTTTTTTTCTTTCTTACTCTCGTTGTCATGAAAACGCCGAGATTTCCGAGGGTCGTTTTTTTTTTTTGTTTTTGTAATTGCCTCGCCCAGAAGACGTCTGGTGTCCAGATGGCGGGGAGGAGGAGTCGCTTGGGAATCTGACACCTTGTTTTTCTTTGAAATGCGGGACAGCGCTTGACAGAAGACCGCGGTTCGCAGTAGATGTGTCTGGTGACCCAGCCCTCATGACCTCCCTAGTTTGCATTTGTCCGCCGGACCTATTGGATATGTCTTATAGTCTTAGTCGTCGAGTTGCCCCTTTGCAAAAAAAAAAAACAACCCAAGATATACGCCCCAAAGCCGTCTAGCGCACTGGACTTGCTGTTTATGACTACATTAGTAACTAATTACAGTGTTGAGTATATTGAATGATACAGTTGACGTTGTTATGCGTGATCGTTAGTAAGTAAACCTTGATAGTCGATGCTTACGAGTGACTACTTTTCTAAGTAGTGAATTACTTGGATCATATATCACCCAAGCAAGAAATGTGAAAACAACCTTTTAAAAAAAAAGTTCACTGAAAACTGGTTTGATCACAGAGCGCTAGTGGTGCTGTTAACTTGGCTGGTGCAGATCTAGTGCCAGACCGTGCCTTTTCACTGAAGGTACACCGGAAGGACCTTACATATATAAAAAAGAGTTTCATAGATGACTTCATCCCGAGTTAGCAGAGCTCCTCTGGCTGGGTGTGTCCGACTGTAGAGGCAGCAGCCCCAGGGCGGCCTCTGGATTTTAATATCCTCTCCTGGATAACAGCCAAAACTCTGGAGATCCACGCCTCTTCTCTGGCTGTCATCCAGCAGGATTCCAGTCAAGATGCGTTACATGTACAAAAATAATAACGATTTTTTAACAAAGTTTTAAACTTGGACTGCGGGCCTGCATTGTATAGTTAAATCCGCGGCTCTCCGACAATACGCGGTTAGAAAATGGAGGGACGTTATTAAATATAGATGATTGCTAAACAATTTTGATGATAGCGAATGCGGTGTGCCTTGTGTTGTACAACAGCTATATGGACGTCGTATATGACTGTGCTCCAATGAAATGAGTCAGGTGTTTTGAAACATTCACTTTATAGGTTGGCAAGTCTAGGACTATTGTAAATGTGGATGTTCAAAGCTACCACAAATGTCTTAAGGACTCTATCATGCATGTGAGTCGTGCATTGTTAAGTTTTAATGCATCCAATCATACGCACAACCCCTCCCAACACGGCTCACACATATACTGCCTCACAATGCATAGGTAGTGCCTGGAGGGGTGGGAAACCATCTGGCCTTTTACCCCCGGAGATTTCTTCTTCTTAACCAAAGAGGGTTTTTGTTTTTCTGTCCTCTGTGGTTGATGTTACACTGTTATTAAGTGGTGCACTGAACTGCATCCCCTTGCACTGATTTCCTTTTGATTTATTGTGTTGTGCGATCTGTATAGTCTGTGTAAAGATCTATGACAGTGTGTCGTGGTTCCCCTGAATCGAGTTGTAATTCTCAGTATGTTGTATCGAGCGCTGAGGGCGAGGAGGAGAATTCCAGGCTCGTCTGTTACCTGTGTCTGTCCTCTGGTTGGCGTGCGAACGTGGACACTCAGTGCCTGTCTGTCCCCCCCGACAGGTGACCGGGATTAAGAGCCTATATGAGGTGGAGCTGGCGGATGCCCGGCGTGTCCTGGACGAGACGGCCCGGGACAGGGCCAGGCTGCAGATCGACCTGGGAAAGGCCAACGCCGAGCTCGAGGAGGTCACCAGGAAGTGAGTATGACGCCCTCTTTTGTCCTTTCAGACGTCCTGAAAAGGATTTGGAAAAACTCGTACGGTGTTGTGAGCTGGAGGCTTGTTCAGAAATGCAGGGTGCGTCAATTTTTAAAAGTTTTTAACTATCTAGATGCACACAGGAATTAAAAAAAGGCTGGGCCTTTTACCTTGTTTTTAGTGGGGGGGGGAAAACTCGCAAAGCTGTTATTCCCCCCTCAAAAGACCTGTATTCTTTTCCCTTGAATAATGGAATAAAAGCAAAGGCGATTTTGCACCGGAGACTGTTAAGAGTGATGTTCACGTTCATGATGTGGGTGAAGTTTCACCCCTTTCCAGACCCGAGCGGCCACAGTGCTTTAGGGGTAGCAGTGTGCTGGACTCCTGTCTGGGCTCAGATCCCAGGTGGGGACACTGCAACAGGGATGTCTTCCTTGATTGCTCTGTGGAATCCAGCTGTATGGATTACTGCCAAACTTTTCCATCTAAAAAAAGTTCTCAACAGTAAACCCTTCAAACTGTTTGGACCAGAAACGTCAAACGAGTAATACATTATCTGCACTAGGTTGAAAACCTGGATTCGGCAAGATTGGGGAATTTTAAACGTTCATACATTTTGCAGGGAAACACCAACCCACAGAGAGACATTTCTTTCAGCACACCTGTTATTTAGTCTGTAGTTTTCTGGGCTTTGTGTATAGTCATGCAAGGTGTTTGAGCATACGTTTAGAAAGCCTTTAGGTTAAAATATTTTTTTATTAGGTTTTAAATTAAAACTTCATATTTCCATGTGCGGCTCTTTAATGATATGGTCTCATATCAAGAGTGATGCTCTTGTAGTAACTCAAAATTAAGAAGGTCCTCGCCTGCTTGTGTAACCTATACAGTGATTCTTACACACGTGACTTCACACGTGATGAATGCAGACTTTTAGTTTATGTGGGGGCACCTGACTCTTCTTATCTGCTTAAGAGCGATGTTTATATTGTAACCATGATAAACTGAGCGTTATTAAGCCCAAGCAAGGTCTTGCGGTTTGAGGTGAGGCGCCTTTTGACATTGGGGGGGGGGGAGACCCTGTGTTAATGGCATTTAACATTAGAACAACCTCACATGACGCAGGCCTCTCTCTTTACATGCAGCGGTAAAGCTCTCATTGTTTGGCACTGTTTACAACGTTGCTATGGGAACTATCGCAGTGCAGGAAGTGCAGCAGCTTGTGCTGGGCCATGTGCTGCTCTTCTGTACGTAGAATCAGAGCAGGCAGTTCTGCCATGCTGGAGCTGTGCATGCAAATATTTTTTATATATATATGTGTGTGTGTGTGTTTTATATATACCTTCTGTCACATTTAAAAAAAAAAACAGTCAGACAGCTTATTTCTTCAGGGGTGGGTTCTGCTGATCTTCCCCTTGAAAATGTGTAGGCATTCTTCCACGGAACTTGCATGTCATTGCGGTAAACTGCGGCGGTCTCGTTCTGCTTCGCCCACCAAAATGCATCGGTGACTAACGCGGTGAAATTCCCCTTCTAACTTTGGTCACACGCAGCTAAAACCAAAGGGGAAATGGAGCTATGGGTTACGGGGGGGAAAAAAATGTAAGGTCTATCCTGATGTCACAGTCCCCAAGTTTAGCTCTTCAGTGTTTTTTTTTTTTTTCAGAAAGCTGATCGCATTTTGAGAATAACTTGTATTCAATCCTTATTGAACCCCATCAGCGTGAGGCACTTGAGTTGTTAACTGGGCTGCGTTTGGGTGGCTTTGTCTCCCCCAGCTATAAAAAGAAGGATGGAGACCTGGCTGCGGCGCAGGCGCGCATCAAGGAGCTGGAGGCCCAGTGCAATAAGAGTGGGGCCGACCTCAACACCGCCCTGAGCGAGAACAGAGCCCTGCTGGCAGAGGTGAACGAGCTGAAGGCCCAGCTTGCCAAGGTGTGTTCCAGCAAAAAACCTCTCCTCAGCCTTTTCTGAATCGTTTGATACTGGCACGTTCAACACAGTTCATGGTTCGCAAGCGTAGCGGACTGAGTGGGTTTTCCTGATTTTGATTTTCGCATGCTTGGTAGCAGCACTAAGGGGTAAAACTGAAATGTGTATTTTGAAGCCGTGCGGTGGTAGAACTGCATAGTCAGAAGGGCGGCTGCCACCATCGCTCGCTGGTGACTGGTGGGTTGTGATTGCAGGCTGAGGATGCCCACACCGTGGCCAAGAAGCAGCTGGAGGCGGAGACCCTGATGAGAGTGGACTTGGAGAACCGCTGCCAGAGCCTGCAGGAAGACCTGAACTTCAGGAAGAACATTTACGATGAGGTAAGGCCTCCGTCGCTTGCCAGCCACGTCTCCCCGCGCTTGATCTGGACTCCAGCTAACCGCTGCTTACTTTGCTTACTGATGGCCTGTCGGTTATTCAGAGAGTCTTCCCACTTCACTAGACTGCCGGCATCTTTTCCTTCAGGATGTGAGGACTCGCTCCTTTCGCTTCCCTGTGCCGAATGTGAGCAGAGTCTCTGTACCCAGAGTCCTAGGTCACACTGAGCTGCTGCAGACCCATATTATTAGTCAGGTGCTCAGCTGCAATGCTCTTGTTTGTTGCATTTCGGTGAATTAGCTGCTTGCCTCCCCCTGGGAGTGAGGCTGCGCTGCCTTGCCTTCCCGAGGGAGGTGCAGTGGGCTTGCAGCGCTCTGGCCTGCTCGGCCCTTCCCCAGGGCGCTGACAGGCTCCCTCTGAGGGCACCGTGCTTGTGTGTGGCTCCCCCAGGAGGTGCAGGAGACCCGGCGGCGCCACGAGAGGCGCATGGTCGAGGTGGACAGCGGGAGGCAGCAGGAGTACGAGTACAAGCTGTCCGCGGCGCTGCAGGATCTGAGGAGGCAGCACGACGAGCAGGTGGCCATCTACAAGCAGGAGCTGGAGAACACCTTCCAGGCCAAGGTA